GGTCTTGGAGCCATTCTGATCACCTCTGCTTTCCACGTCCTCTCACGGCCTTCTCCTTCTCCCATCCAAAGCCAGAACATAGTTCAGTTCACCGTCATCTCTCGCCTGGATGTCTTCAGGAGCTTCTGATGGGTCTCCTTGCTTTGACCCCAGACCCCTCCTAGTCCATCTTGCTGGTAGAATCTTGCATGGTCTCTTAAAGTAAAAATTGCAGCAGGTCATTCCCTTTCTCAAGAAATTCCATTTGCTTCCCATTTAAAATGATATGCAAATTCCCGTCTTAGCCTCCGCGGCCTTGCAGGGTCTGAGGCTGCCCCTCTCTGAATCTGTCTCCTCCTTTCTGAGTGTTGAACACCAGGCTTGGTCCTCCCTTCCCATTGCTCTGTCTTTGCCATAATTCACTCTCCAGCTCCTTACCTGGCTCCCTCGGAGCATGAATCCGGTCACAGACATTCCCCCCTCACACAGGCCTTCCCCAGCTGCCCCCAACCACACACCCTGCTGTTACTCTCGGCCCTCACCCTGTTTTAGTAACTTGTTTATTTCTTACTGTCTGTTTCCTGGTATGTAAGCCCCATGAAGGCAGGAGTGTCTCTAGCACTGGAGTAACACCTGAAAGAGGAGTGTCTTCTGGTGCATCTTTGCTTTCCCTGGGAATTATTATTATTTTTATTTTTAAATGTTTTTCACATATATTTTTATTTATTTAGAGAGGAAGGAAGTGGGAGAGAGAGATAGAAACATAAATGATGAAAATCATTGATTGGCTGCCTCCTGTATGCCCCCTACTGGGCATCTGGGCATCAGGCCCACAACCTTGGTATGTGCCCTTGACCAGAATCGAATCCGGGATCCTTCTGTCTGCTGGCTGACGCTCTATCCACTGAATCAAACCAGCTAGGGCTATTTTTAAATGTTTTTATTGATCTTTAGAGAGAGAAGAAGGGAGAAGGATAGAGAAATAGAAATATCTATGAGAGAGGAACATCATCGATCAGCTGCCTCCTGCATGCCCCCTCCTTGGGATTGAGCCCACAACCGGGGCATGTGCCCTGACCAGGGATTGAACCTATGTCCTCATGGTTCTTGGGTCAATGTCCAACCTCTGAGCCACACCAGCCAAGCGCTAGCAATTATTTTTTTTAATGGACAAAAGAATAATGTATTTTATCCTAAAATGTATCCATTCTCTCCGTACTATCTACTGCATGAAATCTACTGTTTTCCGGGAGGCTCCTCTCTCCAAGCCCTCTGACCCTTTGCTCCAACATAGACTGGTGGTTGTCCAGGCCTCTGTGCTCAGCTGTCCTTGGAGTTCCCTTCCCCACGCTGATGGGGCGGAGCTCTAAGGCCAACTCCTATTTTTCCTCTTTCTTGCATTTATCCTCAGTTTTCCAGAATTACATGCTCAACTTTATGTAAAAGGAGACATGGAAGGTAAACTTTTCAAGTTCTTGAATGTCTGAAAATGCATGTGATCTCTCACACTTGATTAATGGTGCGGCTGGTTCCAGAAATCCATTTTCAAATTAGATCCTTGAAGCATTCATTGTCTCACATGCACTGCAACTGATGAGAAGTCAGTTGCCAGTGCAGTTCTGCTTTCTTTGTTTATCACCTGATCTTTTTCTGTTAGTAAGTGTGGGTCTGTTTTTATGTATTATGGTTGCACTCAATGGATTCTTAATCTGAAGGCATACATAAATCATAAAAAATTTTCTTTGAGGAATTTTTCTTTTTCTAATGAGAGGCTTATTAATTTTATATTAAGTTCCTGAATTAATTCTGTATGTGTTTTATCTTTTCACCTGCCTTTTCTCTCATTTTGTTTATGCTATAGTACTTTGAGAGACTTTTATATTCTACCTCTTTTCATTTTTTAAAAAAATTCTTTACTAGAGGCCCAGTGAACGAATTCGTGCATGGGTGGCGTCCAGCCAGCCCTGTCCCCAATCGGGGTGCTGGGGACCGATCAGGGGCCAGGCCAGCAGAGGGAGTGGGTTGGCGATTGGGGCCTGGATCAGGCAGGTTGGCTGTCACAGTGCACGTCATAGCCGCTGGTCTTTCTGGTCATTTCACGGTTCTGATCACTGGACTTTTATATACATGGATCATGTTTTTTAATTCCCAGTGCCTCTTTCTTATTCTCTGAATTATTATTTTTCATAGCAACCTGTTCTTGCTTTATAGAAGCAATATTTTCTTATATCCCTGAAGATACTAGTCAAATTTTTAAAAATCTCTTCTGCTATTTGGTTTATATAGTTTCCTTTGTAATTAGTTGTCCCATTTGTTTTTCTTGTCTTTTCTCTTTCATAGTCTGCTTTGTGATGAAAGTGATCCAGAGTACCCATCCAATGAGACTATTTATCATTGGTTCCTCTGCTTTGGGTACGTAAGTCTGGTCCTTCTGTAGGGTGTGTCTGCTAAAGGACCTCATCATCAGGAATGAGGGGAGAGAGCCAGCTATTAGGCTGGAGACCCCATGAAAACCACTGTGTCCAGAATGGCAAAACCCTCATTCAACCCAAACACTTCATTCATTTTCTTTAGGGACATTGATCCTTTTTTTAAAGGCATGTAGTGTATGTTCCAGGGATAAAACCAGGCTTCTACTCACTCTGCTGTGGTGGGTTGGGTAGAGTGCCCTTTGGCACAGGCTATAGAATGGTCTAATCCCTCTTCTTATGCCAGTCTTGAGCACAGAGCCTCTCAATGCTGCTAAGAAGATTGGAGTCCACACCCATTATCAGCCTCTTCCTGAGGTGGACTGGGCTGGACCTTCCTCTGCTATGTTTTCTTCCTTGGCATGCTCCTGCTTTCTGTCTTTTAGAAAACTGTTCATCTCTCACAAGGTGGTGATCTCTTTCTCCCTGCCCTGTTCTATTTGTTGTTTTGTGCCCTTTGGCTTTCTTCCTTTTCTTTTTCTAATGCCTATCAGGATTAAATGCAGGTACATAAAACAAAAAGCCCAAATGCCAGTAACCTTAAAAAGAAGGTGGGAAGGGGTTCATTTTTTCCTCTTAAACACACGCACGCACACACACACACACACACACACACACACACACACACACGTTTGGAAGTGGGCCGGTGGGGGCTGTGTGGCAGCTCCAGGAGGACGCCAGGCACACTGGCTCCTCTTTCTTTCTGCTCAATCTTCTGGAACATCTGGCTTCCATCCTCAGAGTTGCCTCATGGTGGCAGATGGTCGTGGCAGCTCCAGCCATCATGGTCACATTTTATTAGGCAGCAAGCAGGTGAAAGGGGGTTAGGATAGAAAGTACAAGCCAGCTGACTTTGCTCCACCTTTGAAGAGTTTTTGAAGAAGCCCTCTTCAGTGACTTCTGATTACCTTTGGCTTCCACTCTCTGCAAGTAAACTTGGAAATTGTAGCTTCTTAGCTAAATTTAGAAGACTACATTATTATTCTCAATAATTTAGTTCTATTGGTGAGGAGAATAAGAATAGATCTGGGGTTTCAGTTTGCTCTTTCACACTATCATTTTAATAACACGTCAGGTGTGGAGGGCGGAGGTAAACAGGATCAGCACTAGACAGACTGATCTTTGAATTTCCCAAAGCCCCCTTCTTTTGCATCACGTGCAACAAATTTTAGCCTAGAATGGTTAATGGTGAATATATACTGAGTGGCCAGATTATTATGATCTCTGAATGCATAATAATCTGGCCACTCAATGTATATCCATTATAATAAAAGGCTAATATGTAAATTGTCCCCTCAACTAGGAGTTCAACCATCAGGGAGGCAAGCCGGCCAACCACCAATGTCCCCTCCCACTGGCCAGGCTGGCTGGACCCCCATCCATGCATAAATTCATGCACTGGGCCTCTAACACACACACACACACACACACACACACACACACACACACACACTGAGTGGACAGATTATTATGCGTTTAGAGATAATAATCTGGACACTTAGTGTATTGTAATATATGGGAAGAATTTTGTATTACATTATTAGTTTCTGGGATTTAACTGTACATTTTCTTAGAGATTCTTATGCTGTTTCTTTGCATGTGTAGTAAAAGAGCAATCTCGGTAGTTTTCCAAATTCTTGAGTAGAATATTAAAATTCATTCCATTTTTAGGGCAGAGTATGTTTCCTATTGCTGCTGTAACATAACAACACTACATAGGGGCTTAACACAAATTTGTAGTCTTATACTTCTCGAGGTCAGAAGTCCAAAATGAGTTTCACTGAGCTAAAATCAAGGTGTCATAGGCTGTAAGGGAGAACCCATTCCTTTCCCATTTCCAGCTTCTAGAGGTTGCCTGGGCTCAGGACCCTTCCTCCATCATCAAAGCAAGCTGCTTCCTATCTCTCTCTCACTGTGACCCTCCTTGAGCCCCACTGGGTAATTACATTGAGCCCAACTGGATAATCTAGCATCATTTCTCATTGTGAATCCCTAATTTAATCAAATATTCAAAGTATCTTGATATGTAAGGTAATATTCTCAGGTTTAGGATGAGGATATAATCGAATACACTTGACACAGGTTTTTCTAACTCAACTTCCAATATAATTATTTTTTATTTATATGTTTCCTTAAAACTGCTGCCCCAAAAGGCTTAGCTGAGAATCATCTTTATATTTTAGTTGTATTTTTTGAAATTGTTGTGTGAGGCTGCAGTTGGGCCGCCATCTTGGTTTCTCCCATCTGTATTAATTGGTTTTAGAAATTAAAAACTTTTTTACTTTCTTTATAAATTAAAGTCCTGAACTTTTTAATTTTTTAGAAAACAATAAATCCAGTCGAAATACAGATGATGTACAACAATAGCAACGACTATCAAAAACACAAAATTTTGATCCTGAAATCTGAACATTTAGGACCGCTAAGAATTTCTTTTGACAGATTTTCAGTGTTATCATATGGCAATAACAATTGTTCACTTTTTTTTATTGGCTCCCCCCTAATAATGTTTTTATAATTAAAATACATTTCCTATATTTTCTGTCTTTATAGCTTAAGAAATGTATTAAAACTCCAGAAATCCCTTCAAAACATGTGAGGAACTGGGTCCCAAAAGTGTTGGAACAACGACGACAAGGCTTGGAAACCTATTTACAGGTAAGATGTGCTTAGATGCTCTGTTAATACAGCATAGTTTATTTATTTATTTATTTATTATTTTTTAAAATATATTTTACTGATATTTTACAGAGAAGAAGGGAGAGAGAGAGAGAGAGAGAGCTAGAAACATCGATGAGAGAGAAACATCGACCAGCTGCCTCTTGCACACCCCCTACCAGGGATGTGCCTGCAACCAAGGTACATGCCCTTGACTGGAATCGAACCCAGGACATTTCAGTCTGCAGACCGACGCTCTACCACTGAGCCAAACCGGTTTCGGCAATACAGTATAGTTTAAATAGCCATTTCCCTCAGTACTTTTTCCTCAGAACTTACGGGTGAGATCCAAAACACATGAAGCAACCAAACCTTCTAAATTAAAATAAAATTTAAAATTATAGCTGTGTTGTTGGTTGGTTCATTTAGCTTAAATTGGGTTCTATTTAAAATTGGTTATGGGGATCAGAGAAGAGAAAATTTAGTCTATAAAGGTAAAAACTGATGTCAAAAGGGTCTGTTTGGAAGGACTTGTATACATGCATATAAGTACAACCAATGGACATAAAACTATGGGGAGGGAGGGGCTATGGGGGAGGGAGGGAGGGGGGCAAAAAAAATCATTAAAATATGTAAAAAATAAATAAATAAATAAATTAAAAAAAAAAAAAAAAAAAAAAAAGGGTCTGTTTGTCTTTATAATTCAGCTCTACAAATAACTTTGTTTTCCTTACCCCGTACTCCCCCCCAAGTTGTATTGCTTTCTCGTAGCCTTTCTTGCCTTGAGGTTTAGGGTGTTTGGGAGATGGTAAGAGGAACTGAATTTCTTGGTGGGCCTGGCTAGTCCCTCTCTGGGATCATATTACGAATGAGTGTATAAAATTTGCCTCTGATGAAGTGCCAACTTCTTTGAAAATTAGCACTTATGTTTTTGAAAGCATGCAGTAGGATGCTCTTTCCTGACGCTGGGTTACAAATAGAACTACCTAAATTCGAAGAACAAAAGTACTCCCTTTCTGCCATGTAACAGAATAAGCAAAAGGAACGTGTCACCTTTTCTAAGATCTAAAACGATAAAGACTGGGTGAACGTGCAGAACTCTGCACAGGGCAAGTGCTGAGTTGAGGTTGGAGGAGGGGCAGCATGTGGAAGCCTTGTGGTCAGCCAGGTCACCTGAGCCCGCTTCAGAGGCTGACACGTGAGAATGACTGAGATGGTGTGAGATGGGGCGGTCATGGAGTCTTGGCTCACAAAAAGAAAAAGTTGGACTTCACCTAAAGTTATGAATTTACCATGATGATCTATCTATCCATCTCTAACACATGTTACAGCAAAGAAATCGGCAGCCCAGCCTGAGTTCTTCCATTGATGTCTTCCTAACCCCATCAGCATTGATTTTGGTGTGGATTCTGTGTACGAGGGCAGCCATAGGCTGTGTTAAGCCAGCATACTATTTCTTCTACAGAACTTTTCTTTAAAACATTATTTTAAATTGATTTCAGAGAAGAAAGGAGAGGGAGAGAAAGATAGAAACATCAATAATGAGAGAGAGTCTTTGATTGGCTGCATCCTGCACACCACCCCCTACTGGGGATCCAGTTGCAACTCAGGCATATGCCCAGGAATCGAACTGTCACCTCCTGATTTATAGCAGTTCAATGCCCAAGCACTGAGCAACAGTGGCTAGTCTGTCAGAACTGGTCTGCGTGGTTTTGCCAGGATAGAAGCTGAGGAGAGGCTGTCACTAGAGGCTTGATGATAAACTCAGGGGATTCTCTGGCTGCAGGAAGATGCTGAGCCCTTTCCTGGCCTCCTGCAGTCTCCCTGGTCTTCCACTGCCCAAAGAGGAAAGCCGGCAGCTGGCAGCCCGAGAACGGCTGAGGAGGCCTCTCTTCACTGTTTTTGCTCTTTTGCTTTTGAACATGGTGGTGAGTCCCTTGCCTGCCTCTCCCTGGGAGTGGGAGATGAAAGGAAATGGGGACCACAAATGACAGGAAAGTGTGCGGCTGTGTGCTTTGAGAGTCTCTGTATGGAGCGGAGAGACTTTCAGAGCTTCAGGCAACACTGTGGAGCAAAACCAAACAACAAAAAAAAACTTAAAAAATGAGATGTTAGACCTTGTATGCAAAGGGTAAAACGCATGTTCTGTGTAATTAAATGGCATGGGTAAACATTGCATTCTTATTTGTAAGGCAGATTTTCCACAGATATTGCATTTCCTCAAGCTTTAGCTCTGAAGAAAGCTTTGCTCTCTCCCCTGCCATTGTATTTGACACATGACTTCCATTACTCCTCAGTGTAAACATTTTAAGTTGTTTGTACTTGGAATATAAATATGCGGGTAAAATCATCTGGCACAGAGAGGAGTTTACAGTGACACTCAAATTGAGCTTAGAACTTTCTGGTGTCAGTACGAGGCTTGAAAGATGTGGTCGAAGGACTGAGAGAGCTTGTTTCCTGTTGTGCATTTAATATTCAATTTGTGGTGTGTGAAGTCCCTGGGAGTTCAAGGGCGCTTCTTTGCAGGCGTGGGGAGCAGGATGGAAGGCGGAAGGATGAGTGGGAGTGCTTACCAATCCTAAGTGAACTAAAAGCTTTGGCTTAGGTGTCTTTTCACCATAACTTTTGGAATTCAAGTCTAAATAAATAAATAAATAAATAAATAAATAGTATTCAAAAACTAGAAAATAGAAGACTTGTTACTGGTCCTTCTGCTCGCCTGTGTAACTCCAGTTCGAATCCCACTCACCCTGAGCACTTGCACCTGAGCCTGAGCTCCCGGGAGCAGGTGTCACTAGCCCTCCTCGGCAGCGCCGTCCTGCAGCCAGCCCATCAGGGCATGAGCTGGCTAGGAAGGCCCTGTTCTGGTCCATAAACCTGAGAAAGTATTCACTCCAATGCCACACTGTTTCCATCTCACAGGGAACACAGGCATTGTGTAACCCAGCTTGCCTTCTGCCCTTTGGTTGTGGTCGTGATAATCTGTGTGGCCTCGATTCCCCACCCATAAAATGGGCAGATTAACTCTTGAGAGAACAAAAGAAAACAGTTCTTCCTCCTTTTGTCCAAGGAACAGCTTGGTCCATGGCTGAGTACAAGACACACATTTCCAAAGGTGCTCTTTTAGTTTAGAGATGGAGAAAGTAAGGTCAGTGGTGTACAAAACTTGCTTCACTTCCTATAGTACATTGGAGATGGGACTGGAATTTTAGTTTCTTAGCTCCTAGTGTAGGCTCTTTGCGTTATGCATTGCAGATTTTCCAAGTCTGAGAAGATTTTTCAGCCTTGACATATAATTTTACTTAGGGAAGTAATAATTAATAATAATAATAAATAATAATAATAATAATACAATAATAATGGAAAGACCTTATAACCATCAACTATCATAATGTAATTGACTAATATACACCCCAGCTCCCTTGGTAGTTCAGTAGATTAGTGATTCTTTTAACCTATAACTTGAATATTTCGAATCCTGTGAGAAATATGAGTATGTGTCTGTTTGCTGTGTTAAGTCATTTACATGGAAGTAAAAATCTTAAGAACAAATTAATTGGGGTTTCCCAAACTGATTTTGACCATCAAACATGTTTTATATAATAATTATAGCCCCTCATTTGAGATGACTTCCCATCTTTCCTGAGATCCAACTGAAATAAAAGTATAAAAATTTAAGAAGGAATAAACCCCGACAGTTAAATAGTAGATGGTCAGGGGAAAAAGAAGATCATCAAAGGAAGAAAATTTTTTTTAACAACTTTCTGTAAGATGAAAGTTTCTAGACGTGTGTGAATGGATGCAACAGAAAGCAGAAAGCAGCAGCCCAAGCTCAGTTGTGGGAGCATGTGTCTGAGGTGGGAGGCGGCCTGCCCAGGGCTGTGGTGAGGAGCTTCTTAGAATCAGCAGGTGAAGGAGAGGCCGAGGTGAGCAGTGAAACTGAAAGCAAATGGTTCATTCAAGGCATATCTGGGACAGGTGCCCAGGCTACTGACATGGTCCAGACTGCAGGCAGCCTGATGTTAATGACCAGGTTTAAAAAAAAAAATTGAATGACTTTTCCCTTAAAAAGAAAAAATGTAACAAAATATTAAGCAGAATGGTTGAGGACAGCTAAAGCTTTTAACATGGATATTGGGGCGCCCACGTTGACAATTCCTAAGGAAAAGTCCGCCAACTGCAGGTGTACCCACACTGTCATCCCAGTGGCAGGAGGAGTGTGGTGAGCGCTTCTGCTGCCACACCAGCAGAGAAGACCCATCCACACCTCCCAGGCCACTTTCTCCAGGGAGATTGATAGCCAAGGATCGCCAGGCGCGTGAAGAAAATGAGTAGCATGAACAAAAGACTAACATGAACTAAAGTGCTGGCTCTTCATCAAAGATAATTCAGGTCACAATCTTTAAAGATTGATTTACGAAATAGAGAGTTTCACAAAGGTATTACACCTAAACGATGACAGTAGGATACTGTGGAAAGGAAACAGCAAGAGCACACACAAGTTCTTAGAATTAGTTGTTGTCCAATTGAAAACATTCAGTAGCTGCTCTCTCTAGTTGGGATGCTATTCCGTAAAGTACAGACACAAAACCCTCCAACAAAAGGACACAGAGGACCGGTATAATTTCTCCTTTCTAGAGTCCCAGAAAAACAAAAAAGAAGAGCGGAAAATACAAAAGTAGGGAAGAGAATAATCAAAGGGAAAAAAGTTGAAAATTCCCCTAAGCTGGAGGATATGAACCTTTAGATAGAAAAGGCAATTCCAGGGCAGGGCACAGAGAAGGACAGAAACGCTCTAATGTCCAGACACTGGCAAGATGTCATTCCATTGGAGATGAAGATTCAGAATCTTTCTGAAAAGAAAAAATAAATGGAGGGTGAGCTTGAGGTTTAGTCGTGGCTCCATTGGTTTATTTGAGGCTGATTTTATGGTCAGGTCCCTCATTGTTCTGTAGTAGCAAATTACAAGCTGGCACGATTTTTTAGGCAAAGACTTTTGA